CATCTTATTCATAGCTAAATGAATTTTGTTTAAAGGTAGTTGAATTCAAATTGGTTTACTATAGATTAACAAAAGCATTTACAACAGTAAGTGATTTTACTAGTACTATTTAAATTCAGTCACTTAACTGAGTGGGTGAATGCATATTCAGTGAGAAGTTAAAATCTCAGGGCCAGATCAACCTTTGTGCACCCCTAGTCATCATGCCACTGGTTTGATCCTTCACAGCAGCTTCAAGCAGCCTCAAGACTGCTCTAAAAGTTGCACCAGCTGCAACAGCTCTCAAAGGGCCACCTGCAGCTGAAGTGTAGTAGCACTTAATTCAGCACAATGCATATGGCTAACCAGTAAATGAGCCTTAGCAGAGGCTAGTGTCTGGCCCTCAGCATTTTTTTAACTCAACTACTTATTTAAGGAATGGTTTGAGACAGGCAGATTAATGAAAAATAAGACTCTTACATTCATATTATATCCCATTCTTTTACTGTAGGCCCTAATCTCTAACCCACTGAAATAAATGGGAATCTTTCCATTGACTTCAGTGGGTTTGGGATTGAGCCCTTAGTCAGCGTGTCTGCTTCCCAGGAGTAAACTATATAGTATTTAACAGGAACAGCTGTCAATAAACCTTAATCTATAATTTCAATATCTAATTAAATAAATGTCTGTTCTCTCCTATTAGAGGTTGGGTTGGATGTGAATATCTGTGCTTAGCACTTTTCCATTGGCTCATAACTTTATGGGCAGGTATCAGTCAGATCTTCAGGTCCAGCATATGCAGAGTAGTAAAATTCTTGAAAGGCACGTCTCACCTGGTGTTCAGGCAGAGATGGCCCTTACAATCTCTTTGAAGTTTACTTTTAACACTTTTTCTTTTATTCAGTCCATTTTCCGAATATCTCTTCAGTTCCACAAATACTGAATCATACTTAGAGAGCTCTTTCAAGTGTTTTGACTTTTTAAATATAGCACTTTTATATTATTGCAATAATTTTCTGAAATGTATAGCTAAAACTCTGTGACCAGTGTCTATTCTTTTTATCAGGGTGTATTAGCAAGGGCACAAGTGTCAAGATTGTGGTCCATGTATATTTTAACAATAAGCAAATTTCAAAACAATCCTCATCCTGACTTTATCATTTTTATTTTTGAGATAAAACAAGATAAGTTAATGTGAGTTAACATAACCCATAAGCATAACATATAAGAATGCATGGCAGTGTTTCTCTTTTGAAACTCGTAAAGGTGAGGTTCTATGTGGATATCATAGTAACATCCTAAATAATATGCATTGCAACTGAATCACTACTTTATGGTTAAGTATTAATTTTACCACAGTGTTGATTGTTTCACTTTATTCCATTTATATTGTTTTATCCTGCTACATAGCTTGTGTTTCCCTTGAGAACCTCCTGATTCATGGTCATTTATTTTCTGTTGTCCCCAGTGATCCATTTTTTAAGTGTTCACAGAGTTCATCACACTCATCCATCCTTATCACATTACTATCTGTGTATTATTATTATTTGCTTGTTCTACACTAGTACCTAGAAACGATAATTGGGATTAGTCCCCTTGGTGCTATCCGCTCTACAAACACATAGTAAAATCTTCTGTTTCACATCAAGTCCATTTATTTATTTATATGCTGTATTAATTTTACTGTGCATTTCCTCTGCAGCTTCAACTTTTGTAGTATCATCATTTTATGTCTTCATTGAAGGAGTCCTTTCTGCCAGAAGTGTGGGTCTAATCTAAATTCAGATTAAATTCTCCTTTTCCCTGAAATAGTCTTTTTTAATAAAGTCCTTTCTTTACTTTTTGGTGGTACTATCTACATCTTTTAACAACCTCAGGTTACTCTGGTGCTGCTATAATGTTTTCGGTGTGACATATAAGGTCATATGGAGACAATCTCATTCTTTATTTTGAGACTCCATTTTCTTTTTCTTTTTTTGTATTTCTCTTTCTTCATGTAAAATAATTTGCATAATCCTTAAACTCTGTTGTAAATTCTACCAGCTCATCACACTCTTCCCTTGTAGTGACTATTTCAAGGTGACCGAGCTCCCTCTCTCTTCTTCTTTATTTAAATCTCTTCTTAGAATTCATGTATCCAACATCATTAAAATGGAATCTTTAGCTTTGCAGATTAGTCATAATGGATATCCTCTACTTCCTTTACTGGAGAGCCCTCTTTTGGTTCACAAAAATGAATGATTCTTCGTCATTGCCTTTTTTTATGATTATCCTCTAGAGATTTATAACATACATATTTCCTAATATTTGTTAACAGAGAAATCAACTTCTGTTTCTGTGTGTATACATCTGAACATATTTATACATAATTTACATATACACACATATATATATTCACATAAAAAGCTTTGTTTTGTGAGTCTATGACCCTGGCATTAAGCAGTGTAAACTTCCTCACACTTCCTTTTTTCACTTGCCCACAAACCTGATTTTGAATAGATAAGAGGATAGTGCACTCGCCCTTGTTACTCAGCCCTTCTGCTCAGAAATTGTGATTTTGTGTGTGAGAGTGTGTGTGTGTGTGAGTGAGGTAGACATTTTTCTTCTGGGAATTTGGCAAAGACCACAAAATCATTTCACATACCACCCGTCTGGTGTCAGCTGGTAATGACTGCCACTGTCATCCCAAGAAAGGTTAGAACTGGTGCCCTAGAAATGAACCCCCCCCCTATTCTATTGCCAATCACCTCTTCAAAGATATTTTTTAAAATACTTGGTGAAATAACTCACAGTCAAGGGGAGTGGGGAGAAGATGCTTTAAGCCATCCTTGTGCACTCCTTACACTGGGATGCTTTGAGGGATGGACTGGGCAAAATGTAGGACATGTCTATGTGACACAGCAATGCACCTTAGAGGTGTGGAAATTCTAAAGCTCACCAATGAGTTGTGCACTTGTTGCCTGGTGTGGACCCTGCTGGTGCAAACTTAAAGTCCCGTAGTGTATGTTAATGAGCACTATGTTAACACATGCTAGGGAGCTTTTTGTTCACAGAGCAGGATCTACATGTGCCAGTTAATGCGCAATGTGTCACACCCTCTAGTGTGCATTGCCATGCTTTGTAGCCAAGACCTTAGGCAGCCCCAAGAGTTCTGTCTACAGGTTGCAGCACTGTCCTGAATGTCCGTAGCACTGTGGGCTGCAGCCTTGCCTCCAACTTGCCTCTCCCCCAACATAGCCCTGCCCCCTCAGCCCTATCCTCTGCATACCCCCTATGACAGGGATTAGGAGAGGGTCCTCTGAAATAGCCTTATGGATGTCTTCCGCAGTATCTATGCTGAAGGAATCCTCCCCTGGGTGGGACTGGGGCTCTTAAGGCCACTTTACACTGTTCAACAGAAACTCAATGGTTTCTTGTTTTATTGTCGCTCAGTGATGACTAATATAGGTAGGTTTGGAAGGATAGTATTTTTATTGGTAAATGTCAATGAACATTCTCTCTCACACACACACACCCGATGAAAGAATATTTCCAACAATGTTAATTGAAATTTACAGATGGGTAAAGTAAGAAAAATGCTGTTTGATAACTTATTAGAGTTTGATTTAACCATATTTACTCTGTATATTTTGACATGCGATGTTAACAGTTTGTGGTTTAACTTATATAGAACTTTAACTGTTTAAATCTCAACAGTTACTGTCACTAAATAATTATTGTCTAACTCTCTCCATTGTTTGATCCCACCATATTTTCCTGCAACTGTGAAAGTTTAAATAGACAAAAATCAAAAACAATGCTTCAAACCCATAATTATGTGCTACTGTGAAAATTAAAATTGATAAAAATCAAATATTCAAAATTATAAGAAAATCAAATAAAATAAATTGAATTCTGCCAAGCCTAAATATACGTCTGCTAGTATAACAGTACTGGATGTATTTCTCAATGCAGCCATGAACTCAGTAATATTTAAAACTCCCAGCTCCATATCAACAGCCATTGGTATAGAATATCAGGGTTGGAAGGGGCCTCAGGAGGTCATCTAGTCCAACACCCTGCTCAAAGCAGGACCAATCCCCAGACAGATTTTTGCCCCAAATCCCTAAATGGCCCCTAAAGAATTGAACTTACAACCCTGGGTTTAGCAAGCCAATGCGCAAGCCACTGAGCTATCTCTCCCGTCATAATTGTAGCTTCTCTGGTCTCATTCTTTTCGATAGGCGTTTATTTCTTTTTACATTATGTCTAGACAATGGGGTACATGAATACTCACTTCAGATATAAACAGATTTTTTTTCAGTGCCATAAAGTTTTGAGTGGTAAACATTCTTGCAACTGCAAGAGTTGGGAAGGAAGAGAACAACTCCAGGCTTTTTACATTGTTCTCCTTTTACCCTGGAGTAGTTACATTTGTTTCCTTCACCAGATTAGGTGGAAATGAACCTAGAGAGTTATACATTTACTAAGGTTGCAAAATACACATGCTACACTGGCTGTGGCCTATAAACCTTATATTGAAAGACATGTTTCAAAGTATAAGAACTGGGACTTTTCTGTTAACATAGATTTTTACCCCATTGTAAGGAGACTGTTCTGTCATTCTTGCCTACGAAACAGTGATCTGTTCTTTGAAGAACTCATGTTCCATAGTCAAGGTATTTGCAGTGTGTTGATAAGTTGATATTTTTGTGTGGATAATATAAACCAGTGATTCACACCACAGTGTATTTTTCCAAATGTTTGCTAACAAGAGGTATTGTGCTCCAATTACTTAATTATCTCTTGAACAGGTATTTTATATTTTAATGACCATCAGAATCTGCTTGTACAAATACTAAATGTCACTTAGAATTCTGACTGGTGCTCTTTATGGTCAGAAATGTATATGGTTTGCAGTTTAGCATGGTCAGTATTCTGAGGTAATTGTGTTCTCTGATTAGCAGTTACGATGGGTGTTGAGTATTCTGAAAATCTGTTTTTAGCTTGATTAAAAATATTTTCCTAATATTTTTTTCCAGAACATTATCAGCTGTATGTTCCTGAATCAGCCCAAGTTGGATCAGCAGTAGGCAAAATCAAGGCAAATGATGCAGATGCTGGCTCTAATGCAGACATGAAATACACAATTATAAATGGTGATGGCTCTGGAGTGTTTTCCATATCCACTGACAAAGAGACACGGGAAGGAATTATTTCCCTGAAGAAGGTAAGCAAATGGCTTTGAAAGTGCTTCTGTGAATATAATTAAAATGTTAGTGAAGTCTGCACAAGACAAGCAGAGGTCAATATGGAAATGTTTGTTTTAATTTGTAAACTTAATAGAGCACATATTGAACCAATGCTAATATAATGTCTCCATCAAAAACTTTAATTTGGTGTGGAAAGTGCAGAAAGAGAAGGAGATGGGAAGCAATCTGAAGGTAACAATTAATTAACTTTTCTGTGCTTCTAGAATCACCAGAATTCAATATTCAGTAATATCCAAATAGACTGAATTAGATTAAACCATGTAGGATTTTTTTAAAGGTCCCTCCCCCTGTGAGTGGCTGTTCCTTTTATATTGTTCATGACACATTTTAGATTAAACAAACTAAGCACAGACAGCCAGCAACAGTATAGTTGTCCCCAAATGGCTTGAATCCTGACCTAGAAGGTTCATCTATGGCAATGAGAAATTCAGTTTAGTTTTCATGCCCTTTCAGTCCTTGACCTCTCTGCTGAGACTACCAGAAAGGTGCCAATTATTGAGGTGGTTTGTATAACATACACACCTACACCTTTGCAAATAGACTAAAATCACTAAATAGTTATCAGGTGGTTATAACTTATATGAATTATCTATGTTATCCAGGTTCTAGCCAAACTGCTGGCCCTTAGACAAAAGGCTTTGTGCCATATATGGTGATGTTTAACTGAATTCTACACAAAAGGGTTTATGCCACCGAGTTCGTCTCATATCTGTATTAAGTAGGTCCCCTGAACTGAGTTCCTAGTGAATTCCCCACAAAATACTTAGAACCCATATAGGATGTGACTGGATTTTTGTTTAGTTTTACATGAAGAAAATGGGAATTAACTATAAGCTGTTATAATTAATTAATTAATTTTCAAAACATTGCCTATGGTAGGAAATCATTTTTAGATTAAAGTCTCTGTTTGGATTAACAGGCAATTCGTTTTTTCTGATGTGGAGCTGTTGTTTACCTGTGTAGGCATGGATTATACTACACAAACAAACAATGGAAGACTGCACTAAAATTCATATTTTACTAATATATTTGCTCACTTTCAATGAAGGCAGGAGGAATGAAAAACGCTCTCTGGAAAATATGAAGAAGGGGAGATGTTGGGAGGGAAGCTCCAGATGTGAAATCAAACAAAACTTTTTGAAAGAAAATATACTCCCCCCAATCTCTCTTTTCACATTTATTGAAATATAACCAAACCCCCAAAATTAGAGTCAAAGTCAGAACAAATTGCAGATTTAAAAACAAAAACAACAACAACAACAACAAAAACGCCCCACCCCAGACTTTTTGTCCTTAAAACTAGAAGATCAATCCAGTATTATAGGGCCTCATCTCACCTTCCATTTCCCACCAAGCTCAGATTTTTTTATTCACATTGCCACTGACTGAATAACTGCACAAATAGTGTGAACAAGTGTTTCAGGTTTGTCATTCTGTGCCTGCCCCAGACAGCTGAACAGTGGCTCTGCAGAGGTAGTATAAAACCATTGTATGAACTACAACCAGAGTTTTGGAGAAAATATGCAGCAAATGTCTGTCTTTTACTTATTGGAACAGATGCTGAGTCCTCTGGTGTCTGAAAAAGATCCAAAAGTCAATTGTCCATAAGTCTGGCCATGCAACAATGGAATTCTCAGTTTTGAAGCCAAAAAATCCCAAATGCAGATGTGAAGGGAACAGAATAATAAAAACTGCTCCACTATCTCCTCAGACCCAGAGCAGGCTTCCTGAGGTTCGCCTTCATCTGCTATGTGCTTCCCTCATAGGTTACTTCTAACATGTAATTTACTACGAAATACCTGCTACTGTATGTCCCTGTACTTGACGGGAACTCTGTTATTTTGAAGGTTCTATAATGACCTTACTGAGGCAATCTTCTGGGCAATTCAATACTGCTAAATGGCATTCTGAGAAATATTTCATAAGTACACTCTGGTTTAGAATGCTGTTTCCTGAATTTGCCAATGGGAAATACATTTTAAAGTAAGTATGTTAGAGGGAGGCTGCTTGACTGTTCTAGGGAAAAAAATACCCTTTATAGGGACTGAATCCCCTTTTTCCCACCAGTTACTCCTTTTCGTCCTCTGTGACATATCCAGTAATATTGGGAAATGACTGACCATTCCATACTCTCAGCCATGCAAAGCCTATGAAAATTAAAAATAAAAAGAATACCATCAAGAAAGCTTCAGGACATACCAACCCAAACCTCATTCTTTAACTGGCAGGTAGACTATGCTTCTCTCCATTAGGTTACATTATTGCTCCAGAGCATCTGAAAAAATGACCCCGTTTTCCAGGGGCAGGATACCCATATGCTACATAAATGCAAAGGAGTAATAGGAATGTTTATAGTTAATATCATCCTTTCTGCCAACATCAGCGTCCATCTCTTCCACTGGAGAGATCACCTTAACCTGGCACCTCATTACCTTAACCTACTTCTCCCTGTTCTACTCAGCAACTGAATCACTGCCAAAGACAAGTCCCTAAATATCTGTAACTCTGGGAGGGCTCATCACAATTTGCGACTTCTCCGAAAGAGCAAAAGCATACCACGAAATCCCCACCCAGAAAAACTCTTCTTCATGTTAATTTCTGCTCTGGCTGCAGCTGAATAATTATGTAAAGTGAAAAAAAAGAAAAAGTCCCCATCTTCTGTACTGCCAACCAGCACTGTGACATCATTCACGTGGATGAACATTTTCACTGACAGAGTGAAATTCCTCTCGCTCTTAATCCATGAATTTATGCCCTGAAATCCCATTACCATACACTGCCCACAGTAAAGTGTCCAAAGAAAAATAATACAAAAGTGGACTCAAGGGACAACTTTGTCTTACCTCAAAATATAGCCTCTCCCTTCCACCCTTTTACTAAAGGGATGCATAATACATGAACTGCAGCCAGTTAATAAACAGTAAGGGAATACCACTATGAGACCAGACCAACCATATATAACGCAAATTCATTCTTGTAAAAAGTTTTGGTCCGATCCAAAGACAAAACATAACTCTCCCATTTCCCCCATCACCCAATTTTAAATAGTTCCTGCAAACTACACAAACTGTCTGCCACCATGTGACCTTGAACTGCATTAGAATGAGTGGGATACAATTATTTCCCTGCTTTCTTCTCCAATCTTTTGGCTAGAATGGAAGCCAAAATTTCATAATCTGTTTTCAAAATGGTAATAGGTCTCCAATTCCTGATATCTTACCAATCCTATTTTTGAAAAAAAGAGGCCTTCATAAAAGGAAGGTCCAATGTACATGTATTCAAGGTGTCACTGAAAGCACTGCAGGGGGGGGATTCATAAACCTTTGATAAAATTCCACTGTGTAATAGTCCACCCTCAGAAAAGTTCCTTTCTTAAGTGACAAGACAGCTACATGAAGTACATTTCCTCTGTTGGCCTCACAAGTGAGTCCTGTTCCTGAACTGCCAATGTTGGAAAACCTGCAATACTATCTAAAAACTGCTGCTGCTGAAAAGGAGGAATGGTTTGTCCCTTAAAAACAAAACAAACAAACAAACAAACAAAAACAATGAGGAGTCCTTGTGGCACCTTAGAGACCAACAAATTTATTTGGGCATAAGTTTTTGTGGGCTAAAACCCACTTCATCGGATGCTTGGAGTGGAAAATACAGTAGCAGATATATATACCCAGTAAATGAAGAGATGGGAGTTGCCTTACTAAGTGGGGGGTCAGTGCTAATGAGACAGTTCAATTAAAGTGGAAATGGGCTATTCTCAACAGTAGAATAACAAGGGAGGAAAAATCACTTTTGTAGTGGTAATGAGGGTGGCCCATTTCAAACAGTTGACAAGAAGGTGTGAGTAACAATAGGGGGAAATTAGTTTTTGTAATGACCCATCCACTCCCAGTCTTTATTCAGGCCTAATTTGATGGTTTCCAGTTTGCAAATTATTCCAGTTCTGCAGTTTCTCATTGGAGTCTGTTTTTGAAGTTTTTGTTGTTGAAGAATTGCCACTTTTAAGTCTGTTATTGAGTGACCATGGAGGTTGAAGTGTTCTCCTACTGGTTTTTGAATGTTATAATTCCAGATGTCAGATTCGTGTCCATTTATTCTTTTGCATAGAGACTTTCCGGTTTGGCCAATGTACATGGAAGAGGGGCATTGCTGGCATATCATGGTATATATAATATTGGTAGATGTGCAGGTGAACGAGCCCCTGATGGTGCGGCTGATGCGGTTAGGTCCTATGATGGTGTTCCATGAATAGATATGCGGACAGAGTTGGCACTGGGATTTGTTGCAGGGTTTGGTTCCTGGGTTAGTGTTTTATAACAGTGCCCCACTTACTCCATTTGCCCCCTTCCTCCGTTGCAGGGGATTGGACTAGACGACCTCCTGAGGTCCTTTCCAACCCTGATATTCTATGATTCTATGATACTGGTACTCGTGATCCCTGTCTACTTGACCACCTAATCACTGTTACTAATTAGTCTGATTTACCCATCTCTCTCTCACACTTTCCTTTAGCCACTTTTTCCTTGTTGGCTGGTTTATTATTCTCAACTATTCTGAGTCCCCAGATATTGATCCCAACTGACAGTTCTTTCTGAAGTTGCTCAAGCCCAGTAACACCTGGATCCCTTTCCCCTAATGAATGCATTTATAACACACCCACAGGATCATCTGTCTGCTCTCCCTCATCCAGAACAGTGCCTAATACAGACCGTATTATAATGCTGCCTGTTGGATCTGTGAAAATGCTATGTGGTTAGGGTTGCCAACCCTCCCAGTTTCTCTGGGAGTCTTCCGGAATTGGGCTTTTCCTCCCAGAGGCTACTGAAGCCAAACTAGGATATTTTAGGCGCTAAGAGTCTGGTGGCGCAATTGGACTAAGGCAGGGTCCCTGCCTAGCCCCACTGCACCATCAACTGGGAGCCGCCCGAGGTAAGCACCGCCCAGCTGGAGCCTGCACCCC